TAAATTGTTAAGTTTTGCATCACGCAGGGCCCACCACCATCCACTCCTCTGCCTCTCAATTACCAGTGCTGCATTTAGTTTTACAATCTTTTGGTGCTACTTAAATGTATTATTGTCAATTTATGGGAAAATAATAACTTCAGAATCTTGTGTCTCAGTTGTGAGTAGACTTCTGAAGCTGAAGAATATACTATGCAACTTGAGAGGAACCATTGGTTAAACTGTGAAAGTCAATTTTTTAAGTTGTATTAACCCAGACAGGATGGATTTTTAATTCTTCTTACATAGATTATGGGTTAAAACTGACAAGATATCAATGACAGAATATGTATAGATTGTCGGATACGGTTTATATTATTTTTAACTTTAATTATTTTTGTAAATGATAGATCAATGTGGTGGACAGACCCATCACCCAGCAAGGTCTTAGTGGCATGAAGACATCATCACGTGGACCTCAGAGGCAGGTGAGTTGTAGTTACAGTATTTTAAGCCAAATATTTTGTTACTTGTACAGATGTTATATCAAGTTCTCTTATCAGTTTTCCTCAACTCTGTTTTTTGTTTTGTTAGACTTTTTATCATCTTCTCCTAACATTCCTCTTTTCTCTCATTTCCTGTCTGCTTCTTATTCTTCATCTTTTATTTTGTCTTCCTATTCATGTTCTCTCTTGGTCTTCCTTTTCTTCTTTTCCATCCTCTTCTTCCTCTTCTCTTCATCTCCTTTTCCTTCCCCTTCTTGCTCTCCTCCTTTTCCATCTACTTTGCTGTCTGCTTCTACTTTTTTCTTCTCCTCTTTCTTCATTTCTTTTTAATTTTGCGTCTTGCTCTACTCATATTCATAATCTGCTTCTACTTCTCTGTCCTCACCTTTTTCTCATTTCTCTTGTTTTTGTCTTCATTTCTTTTTTCTTCCTTTTCTTCTTCATCCTTTACTCCTTCAGTGTGCTATACTTATTTAACACTACATGTTTTTGTACCATTTGTCACCAGGTCCAAGACAAGAGCTACTTCATGGGCCAGCTACGCACCAAGATCACGGACTTGGGCACGGAGATCACACATCTCAGTACAGAGATTGACAAGATGAAGCAGGAACAATCCACCTTCCTCACGTATGACAAACGTGTCAAGGAAATGGCCCAGGAACTCACAGGTTGGCATTGGTCACAGTGTGTGTAGATGATAAGCTTATTATTGTCATCATCATTGATATTATTATTATTATTATTATTAGTATTAGTAGTAGTAGTAGTAGTATTAGTAGTAGTAGTGTGCGGCTTGTAGGCTGAGTGCATGTGAACACTCTTGTGCTTTAACAAGACTCTATGCCTTCCCTTTGCAAAGTTATTTTCTGTTTATATTCATAAGCATTTCAAGTTTTTTTTTTCTTCTTTTTTTGGCTATTTTACAATGTCTTTATTAGTCTTTACTCTATCCAGGTGGTAATAGACTGTTTTCCTTGCGCTCACTCCATTTCACCCCTGTGGGTAGTTCATAACTGAGTGCAATGAAAATAAAAAAATACATTTTGTTATTAGTGTCCATTATTATCATTTTTTTTATTTTTTATAATATTTAATTATCTGTAATACAACCTACGCTGTTTGTCACAGTGGTCAGGAATAGGATGCTGAGCATGGAAATATCATCCTCCCTGGAGCTGGCACTCTTCTAGTCATGGCTCATAAACATTACATTCCACACTCAATTATTAAATTGAATAATGTAAAAGCCCCTTTCTGAATGCCAAATAAGTCTAATCACCCTCCAAGAGATTTGTGCCTGCATTGTGTGTTTTTTCCGTCACCCTGGCCTTTAGCCAAAACACTCATGATGGCAAGTTTGCGTCACGCACCTCTCAAGCCAAAATTTTTCATGATGTGATGGTCATGTCATCCAGATTGAAGTGGTTAAAATTAGTAGTATTAGTAGTATTTTCTGCTTATTTGTGTTATTATTCTTCTTCTTCTGTTATGGAATCATGTCTAATGTACTTTTTCTTGTATTATTAGCAATAAGAAGTGAAAATTTGATAATTGAACTATGACAGTAGAAATCTTGAAGTGATTAGTTGATATTAGCCAATATTTACCCAATCATGATTATTGAGTTCTGTTATCTTCTATAAGATTATGGAACCAGTGAGCCCCTTTGGTTTCTTCCTGAATCTTGGTGTCACCTTTTTGTTATTTTATAGTGATTAATATGCCGGGCTGATGCGTTTCAGAGCTTCAGGGAACGTTAGGAGATTACAACCTGCTGGTGGACCTCTTAAACACGGACACTGAACAAATTGAGATTGATGAGGAGATCAAGGTCCTGAGGGAAACCAACAAGGAGGAAGCAGACAAACTTGACTCGCTTTTCTCACACAAGCAGGATCTTGAGTCCATGATGAGGCAGCTGGAAGTCGATATTGAGGAGGTTTGGCTTTGAGAAATGTTTTTGGTTTTAATCTTCTTGGGTTTAATCTTTTCATGTCTTGCAGAGGTCTGAAATGTGTGAGCCAGATATATTGGGCAAATTTACAGTTACTTGCATTTTATAATATGGTGCAGAAAAGCTATTTAGATTATTAAAAACAAGAATGTATAGACAAGTAAAATATGATAAAGACACCATCAAGTCTTATTGCAACATTTCAGTCATTTGTCATACCCACAGTATTTTGATCCACTAAAAATTTGCAGGAAAGGCACATGGGTGAGAGTCTATTGGAGGCGATGCAGCCAAACCTACGACAAAAATACTTTGAACTGCGCCAGACCAATACCACCCTCCTTCAGCAGCTTGACCAAATGCAGCTGGAGTTAGATTCCCTTGATAACAGGAAAGCTGGATTAGAGGATGAGTTGGCTCTATCAAAGGTACATGCGACTGATTTTTAGTACCTTTAATACCTGATTAATATTATCAACAAATGGATCTCATTTGATTAGTAGTTTTTGCGACATGTCATGTTGCAACTTCAGATTTCGAGGAAAGGGCAGAAAGCCTTGATGATGTTAGCAGGGGCATTCCGTCTCCCAGAACATTCATTCTCTCTTAACACTTAGCTGTCTCTCACTCATTTATTAAAGAATCAATTATCTTTTTCCCTTTTGTTTTTTCTGCCCATCTCAATATATTAATTTTCTCCCTGTTTCTCCCAATCTCTTGCTCTTTCACTTGCTCTTCTACTCTGTCTTTTTCTCTTTACCTCTCATAAATTCAGTGATTATTTCTCATTGTATCTTTTGTTTATTTATTAATTGCTTTGCTGTTGGTCTCTCTTCATTGTTTTTTCTCTCCATCTCATTCATTCTCTCTCTCCCTTTCTCTCTCAGTCTTTCAATTATTGATTCACATTCTCCTGTCTTATCCTTTCATGAATTTTTTCATTGATAAATGATGCCAAAGAATAGAGTTTGATGAAATGAACTTGGGGATGGTCATTGCCTTCATTTACTAGTTAATAAAAGGATACAAAGTTCAGTATTCAGAAATTGGATTATTATATGGTAAATCTGTTTTTTTCTTAGATGTTATTTAGTTATGTCAGTAAGAACACTGCCTTTTAGTTTTTTCAGAGGTTACCATTTAGAGTATAGTTGTGCAGCATTTTTCTACATAATGCATTTTCAAGATTCATTTGTTGGTGTACAATTTGCAGGGTTTTTTTGCGCACTGTCAGAGATAGATAATATGATTTACCCATTTTCCGTTTCAGGATTAAATTTTGATATTCCATTGAAAATAGTTTCTTTATGAATTTTTTTTCAATATCCATCTGCCTATTTTTTACTACAGTAAATAAATTGTACATATAAGGTGTACTTTATGGTGTACTTTATGAAGTAATTTTGATACTATCTCATGATCCTTGCTTCTATAATTATCCATGTTGTTTTTTTCTTGGAAGTGTTTACAAATATCAAAATATGTTTGATGTGATCTTGCATTTTGTATTTGAATGTTCCATAACCACACAGGTGAAACAAGAAGCTGTGGGCTTATATGAGAAGCTTCAGGACCTGGAGGAGAAAAAAGCTGAAATTATCAATGAGAACCAAAAAAGAGGAACACCTAAAGAAGAGAGAGAGAGGCTCTTGCTTCAGGTAAATATTACATATAATAACCATACCATTTGCCTTTATGCTTTAATCCATATGATCTTGCATGACAGTTTTGTTATAGTTCTAAAATCTCCAAGGTGCAAGTTTTAGAGAAATATTAGTTATCAGTAGATTTGGCATAATTATTTAAATGCAGTGTCATAAAATGTAACCAGTACAGCCAGAAAAATGTTGACTCCATGCATCAGGTTGGGCTAAAAATTGCATAAACTTAGTAGCAATTGCACATTTATTTTCATGCCATACATACACATATAAAATCCTGGTTTGTGGTTTGGTACAGACTTATATGAAACAATATATCCTTCGGAATATTTTTTTTATTAAATTCCTGCAAAAGTATCCACTCACTGCCATATGAAGTGTTGTAAACTGTGCTTGGACTAAGATGATACTGGCATGGCATATGTGTCCATGGAGGCAAGGGGTTAAAAGCAGTGGCTTGTGGATCTAAGGACATTGTCACTCAGAAAGGGAGAGTTGCAATTATGTAATTATTGCTGCCCAGATTAGTCCATTCGTAATTATTCCGTGTAACTGTTCAGGTGAAAGAAGACAATGCAGAGATAGCAACAATGGAACGACAGATTGGAGAGGTTCAGGATCAAATGCGCAGAGTCCAAGAAGAGCTTCAGCAGTTGGATCAGGTAAGGCCAGTAGTTAGTCAGTGAAATGGGTCCGAGAATAGTCAGTGAAATGGGTCCGAGAAATTACATTGAGGATTGATATTATTAACCTTTTGTGAGTTTTGTGACTCGACTGCCAGTAAATTGTTCACAGTTGGATGACCTGTTGATTTAGATAGTTTAAATGATTAATGGATTAAGATTATGTTTGAAGACTTGAATATTGCAAAATGTATATTTGTAAGATATTAAATGAAATTATAAATCATAAATCCATCTACAGGATTTAGAAGAAAACCAGAGTGAGAGAAGCCAGAAATACAGAGAACTTAGGAAACGTGAGGAAACAATGGAACAGTTTTTGGCCACCTTTGATAAGAATAAGCAGGATGAAATACAGAGACTGGAAGCTCTGGAAAAGAGCAATGTTGCAATACTTGAAAAGCTCTCCCGCAATCTGGCCCATTTCAATCACCTCCCAAGGTAAAGTGTTAAAAAATTATAATGGAGGTTTTTATTTCTACCTCTTACTCATAATTTCTGTATTGATCCTAGTTGGTTGTCTGTCATAGCATGAGCTGTTATGATATATATATATATATATATATATATATATATATATATATATTATATATATATATATATATATATCATCCAGAAACTAGTATGGTTTGAATGTGATTGTTGCAGTGACAGTATCTAGCCTCTTTTTAATCCAAAATTGGGATTTGATTATGATACCCCATTTTGAAACAGAGCCAATTTGATGTTATATTTAATTTTCTCATGATATTTAATGGTATTTTTTCACCAATCTGGCTTCATATTAATTATCTTGTTGTATAGGAATACAGCTGCATATTATTCACAGTTTAACCCTTCCTCTGGAAAATTGCAGTACACGTGACTTTGACATTATGCAGACCGACTTAGCTTTCAAGGAGGGAGAGTTAGAGAAGTCGAAATACACAGAGCAAGGACTGAAGCAGGAACACCTGAATTTGCAATCCAATCTGCAAAAGGTATGTTTATTTCTTGTATGATCTAGATACTATTTTGATGAATGATAGATGTTGTAGGAATGGTTTATAAGGTTGTTTTATGAAATTAATTTTGATGCTTTCATAGAATTACAACTTTTTCTAAAGATTGAAGCACTGGAAGTAAAGATACAAAAAGAGATGGTAGAACTGAAGGAGAAATTAGGTAGGATGGAAAAGGAGATGGTTGAGTTCTCTGACCTGGACGGCCTAAGAACGAGAGCTGAAGAGAAGCGAAGGAACTTAGCCGATGAGAAAGAGCAGTTGGATGAGAGGAAGGGTGCGGTGACTCAGAACCTCCACGAGATTGAGAGTACGGTCAAATCACTTAAGGTGAGTGCTACTTTTGCGAATATATGTTAGTAGAGTTTCATATATATATTTTTTAGCTTTGGCAAAATTAAGTATGATATTCTTTTTGGTTAAATTTTATACTAGTTACAGTATTATTGGGGTCACTTCATTCCAGAAGAGAGTGAATATTTACATTTACTTGTAGATTGAATTTTCAGACATAAGCAGTAATATTTTTACTTTTTTCAGAAACAACTTAATGAAAATGAAACCCACACTCAGCTGACAACTCTTGAGAAGAAATGGGCACATTTGGAACAGTCAAACTTCACTCTCCAGGAATATGTAGCGCAGAGAAGAGCAGAGTCAAATTTCCTGCCTCTTCAGAACCAGGCTATGAAACTTGTCCAAGAATATAACAAAGTACTGCAGGATGTAGTGCAGAATGGCACCATCATGTGAAGATTTTTCTGCAAATGGTGTAAAAGATGTAGAGATTCTACATGCATAGGAGCAAGCATTATGTCACAAGTTAAATCCAATTTAAAACTGAGAATGTCTTGTGTGATTTTAACTACACTATGCTGATTATAAAATGTATTACAATGAAAATATCTAATTGCCATTTCTTGTAGCTTGTGGACTGCATGAAAAACTATATATTCAGATGTCTCTTTCATTGTATGCTTATTATTACCAGAGTATGGACACATGTGAGTTTTCAGTGAACATTTTTTGTTATAATCATTGCACCTAAATAGTTTATATTCATAACAGTTGGTTTTCTCATTTTGTGGATAATGGGAATGCCAAATGATAATGAATTTGATAAGATTTATCAAATATATTTTTGTAAAGCATTATAACTAAAGAAACAAAGAAGGAAATTGTCTCTTAACAAGATAGAATATTATCTAATTTGTGAGTGAATATAGTCAATGTATATACTTATATTTTGTCATCATTCAGTTTTATAAGGTTTTGCAATTATCATTGATCACTTGTTTTTTTCAGACATATTTTTGCCAGTTCTAAACAAGAGAGAAAAAATGTGATATAGGTATATGTCTGATGACATTATAAAGTCGCTGCACAGTCTTCAGATAATAGTTCCTTCACTTCACACACACAAAGTGAAATATTGTATTACATTTGCCTTGTTACAGTGATCACAATTTAGCATTGATATTTATTGTTAAAGATATACTCATTTCTCTGAATTTGTGCTTCTACATTATGCAGTGATGATGATAAGCAGTAAATAGATATAATAAATAGTATTTACCTTAGGTATTTTATTAATTTCCAGTTACTAAGTGATAGTAATCATCAAAGCAAGATCTTATTGTACTGAAAAACACAGTCATCTGTCTGTCTATGTCTCTCTGTCTTTCTTGGTTCACCACCTCAGATTCATTTGTT